GCCATTCATTTCTGCCCACACCACCCATGGCAAAACTTGAAGGAACAACAATTTTCAATATGGCATTGATTAAAAATCTAAATCCACTGAGGGGTGTCTATTATACAGCTTCCAGGCCCCCATTTGAGCAGTGGAAGTTTTGTGTTGACAATAAGAGGCAACGCAGGTTTTGTCATTTTTGCTTCCGGAGAGTGATTACTTATGTACAACACCTACCTTAAGATCATCTCCATGGAATGTGCATGGCTGGTGTGGAAATTGAGATGCAAGAGAGTTATCAGCAGCAATGACAGCGAAACAACCAGCATCCCCCCAAACAAAGCAGTCAGCACTTTCCTCTCCTCCCTGAATGAGAGACTAAAGCAAGACAGATGCCTCACAAATAGAAAGAAATACTGCAAATATGCTGTGTCAGGAAAACTTGTCCTCCATACCTGGAGTGGAATCCTACAGGATGAAGCGTGCCTCCCAGAGAATTGGCTTACAGCAAAAACCGAAATAGTAGAGAAAAGTTTACAAGCGAAGTACCCTGATGTGCTTAAATTGGAAGGTCAACCCTGATTCATGTGCCACTGTTGCCATGCAATGGTTTGAATTGATATAGAAGGGTTATAGAAGAAAGATTTTCAAAGCTGTTGTGATCAGTACTGGTTGCCCAGTGGTTTGGTTGTGGCTATAGATGTGTAGCACATGGGTCACCTTGGTTCAACTCTCAGTTACAGTGGTATTTTTTTGTTTTGTTTGCCCCTAGCAACTGTCAGAGACCAGATGTGGGATGAAGGAGATGTCCCTGTGGTGGAGGGCTTTGGCCTCAGCGACTTAGACCAGGAGTGCTGTGCCCAGTTTACACGTCCATGCCCTAACTTACTAACTGGCAATGAGAACTTAGCAGGGGGATGATTTTATCACTGGGGTTCAACCTATCTACAAGTTATGTATATATAGTTACATAGGGGGCAGGCCTGTGAATAGCAGGACTGAGCGGGGTGGAGCTAATGGAGTTAGATGTTAGCCAACTGAATATTACCAACAAGTCAGGTTACTGGTTTAGTGGAATGACAGGCTATAACCCACAAGTGGAAAGGAGGGATTGGCCCAAAGGTGGGCTTGCAGGGCAAGCAACTAAATTGCCCAGTGGAGGCAGGAGTGTGCTAGCAGACATTGGAGCTGTCCGGAGACCTTCAGGGCTCCGTACTTAGGGAGGTGTAGGTAATATATTGAATTGGGGAGGTGGTGACCATTGGGGGAGTTAGAGGTGATTGTGGAATCTGGAGGCTCCAAGGTTAGTGACGAAGGAGCGGAGGGAGTCCAGAAGGACTGGAGGTAGTGGAGGGTGATGGCCATGGATGGATATGACAGCAACTCAAACTGCCAGATAGTCATTAACACACCAAACAACTTTTTGGGATTTGTGTGAGGGGCTGCAGAGATGTCACATGGCAAGAGTTCAACACCAACTTGCCAATCTTGAGTGGAAAAAGAAAAAAAGAAGAACAACTCCAACGGTCTAACACAGAATCAAACCAGAATGCCATGGACAGCCATCCATGCCTGACAGCCACACAGCCACTTAGCAACTAGTACTGACTTGGTTGTTCTGGTAATTTTATTTCCTATAACCCTTTAAAATCAATTCAATCCAAGTGCATGACAACAGCAGCATGTGAATCAGGGCTGACCTTCCAATTTAAGTGGATCAGGGTTCTTTGCTTGTGCACTTTTCTCTACTATTTCGGTTTTTGCTGTAATAGCAACAGGGTTCAAATGGGGTTTTAGTGGGTATACCCGATCTGCCAAGGTCAGGTGAGCCCCAGGGCCTCAACGATGGATGTCAGTCAAGGGGGAGTTCTGCTACCACAGCGAACACCCGGCATGGGCCTAAACCTTCACACGGTGCCCCTGTTTAAAACTAATTAGGCCTCTAACATCTGAAGGGAGGATGATGTGGCCACCGTGGTAATGCCAATCAACCACAACCTGTCAGGGCACAGCCCCTGACCCCACACACCCTCAGGTACCCTTCCCCCATTTTCTCCTATTTTTCCCTTCACTGTTCCACAATCCTGCATGCATGCAGACCCGTGGGAACATTCTGGGCAAGTTACTCGCCCAGAAACCATCACAGCCATGACTGTGGGAACTTTCTGGGCAAGCAGCTCGCCCAGAATCTTCCCACGGGGGGGTGCCAATTATGGAAAGTCGGCAAAGAGCCGAAAACTGTATAGTTCCCGACTCCCATTTGTAGTGGCTTCACAGGAGGTTGAGAAGGTTACCCTTCTTCTCAACTCATTTCCTGTGAAGGCTGGGGCTAGCCCCCTGTCAGGGCCCGGCCTCGGACTCGGAGGCTCCCTGACCTCAGCCCCCATCTAACCTGTCCTCACACTATGCGGGGCATGAGATGTATAGTAAAAGGAAAGATAATATATACACTTGCCTATGCGGGGCATGAGATGAGAAGAAGGGTAAAGGTCTCATCTCCCCGCATGGTTGCTATATAAAGGAATGGGTCACATGCCCACAACTATACAGCTCCTAGAGTTGTGTAGTGTGACCCGGAGGGAACATCCAGGTGGCAGTGCCCAGTAAGTGTGGGAACATTCTGGGCGAGTTGCTCGCCCAGAACTGGGAACGTTCTGGGCGAGCTGCTCGCTCAGAAAGTTCCCACGCTATCCCGTGCCCGCGTGTGTACACAACACAGAAAGGCAACAATGAAGGAATGGAAGGAAGGGATTGGTTGGGGAGTCTGGGGCACCCTAGGGCAGGGTGCTGAACCCTGACACCCCCTCAGTGAGTTTGAAGATCTTGGACTGGGACTAGATACCCCAACAACTAGGAGGACCCCCTGGGCCCGTCGCGGAACGAGGGCCGGGCCCTGACACAACCCCGTAAGCCCAGAGCCACACTGGCTGGAGAGATGCAAGAGCACGGGTGCACGTCCCACCGTCAAGCCAACCCTTCCTTTTTCTTCTTACCACTACCTTTTTGGGATGACGAGCGCAATAGTGGCAATGCCAATGGTGACCTCTGTAAGCCCAGACGGGACTGGCCAGAGGACTGTGGGTTCAAGTCCCACCATCACCCCAACCCTTCCTTATTCTTCTCTTCTCCACTACCTTTTGGGATGGTGAGGTGCAATAGTGGTAGCGCCAATGGTAGCCTCCATAAGTCCATGGGCAGGCCGGAGGAGTGCAGGTTCAAGTCCTGCCATCACCCCAACACCCTTCTTCCTTCTTTCTCCACTACCTCTTGGGATCATGGGGCGTGTGTCAGGGCACACCCGCCTGACCCGGTTCCACCCGGGCCCACCTGGGCCCACCTCACCTGCTCACCCGCTCACCCGCTCACCCGCTCCCTGCTACCCATCCTTCCTCCCTCTTCCCCTTCCCCCCTTTCCTCCCTCTTCCCTCTTTCCTCTCTCTCCCTTATTTCACTCTCCCTTTCTGTTTATTCTTTCTATTTACATGGACCACCTTCCCTTGTATCATTGTACTGTTGACCCATCCGGCTCGGACACCCCGGACGACTTCCCGCTACGCCCAGCATGCACACCTGCAGCGGACGCCCTCGGGATCCCCCGCAGGGATACCCAGATGGCTGCGGCCCTCTCCGTAGATGACGTGGCACCCGTCATGTGACCCAAGCCGCATGTACATAAATGTACCTGAAGTGGGAACTGAAGAAGTAACCTTCTTCTCACGTTTTCCACTTCAGGTAAGTAGTGTAGTTCTTCCTTTTAATAACAATTCACGTTTTCCACTTCAGTCTAAGTGGCCAGGGACTACAGTCCCAGATCGGGCCCGTCAGTACGCGCGCCCGCTTCGTCCCCCGAGAGGGTCCCTCCGCCGGGCGCTACAGCCGGGCCCCCTCCACCCCGGACGCGTCCCTGACAGCATGATAGTGGTAGCGCTGGGAGGGCCATCACCCAACTCACTTCCTTCTCACTTTCTCCACTACCTCTTAGAGTGATGAGGCGTGATAGTGGTAACGCCAGGCTGCCATCACCGCAAAACTTTCATTTCTCTCCACTACCTCTTCAACCAACGGCCCCTCCACCGCATGTCTTTATTGAACACATGAGCTGGAAGCCACTTAACACCCTCGGCTGCCATCCTAAACACTGAACGGCCAACCGAGACGCAATCTCACAAGAACACACTTCGCCTCAACCCACCCACAAGAGCTGCTGTCACGCTGAACAGCCAACCAAGACATAGCCAAACCCTAGGCCTTGGGTATCAATCCAACAACACATGGAGCCTTCACCCAATTCACCCGCAAGAACTGTGCCCACACACCCCACTTTCTTCGTCGCCTTTCTGGGCTTACAGCAGCAAACCGTGCGCCCCCTGCACTGGGGGTCGCGTGTCTCTTCTATGCACTATTTCTTCACTATGCTTTACATTTCTCCACATCATTTGTTACTATTTTCCAATGCAGGGGACGCACGTCCTTATGTGTTATCTCTTCACTCCGCTTTACTCTCCATACCACCTGATACTCGATGTCTCATCCACCCATTGACACTTAACTCCTCTCCACCTACTACTTTCCAAACATTTTTCACCCGCGTCATTATAGTACGGCATATGCCGATAGGCACAGATACGTACTTTAAAATGAATACATCCATCCATCCATCCATCCAGGTGAGCCCCACACAAGGCATTATGTAAATGCCGGTGCGTAAAGCATTTCCTTGAGGTGGCAATCTCTGCACTAACACAGACCCGTCGACCTCACCTCCACGGAAGGTCCAGCCTTCCCCCACAAACCCCCAGGCAATCTTGCCCGCGAAAGCTACGGGGGTTCCACCAAAAAAAAAAAAAACTTGCCGTGAAAAGTCGGTTCCTTGACTCGCAATTTCGATTTGGTAAAATACCAGAGTAATTCTGGTCATTTACATTTCCCACAGTGAGACATGAGCTGCTCGAGGGCGTAAATGGCGGTTGGACCCTATATGTCACCAGATTTTATTCTCACACTTATTCAGACCTCGACCCTTTATCCACCCCTGTTGCGCCACAATGATTTAAACCTGGGATCACCCAGGTAGACCAGGAAATGACGTTCTACAGTAAAAAGAAAAAACATTCTTGCAACGTAACACACGTGAAGTAACAATACCGACTCCAATAAAGAATCGAACAACCCAATACCCGAGCCTACGGCAACAAGGATCAAGGGCTCCCTTGTAGCCATGCCTCAGCCAAAGTGTAAGTATCAGGCGTTGGTTCCCCTGCTGGCCAAAAACCCATCATCTCAAGGCTTGAGTGTTGGATCTACGCGTCCGCGTTTCCCTCCGAGTGCCACCTGCTTGGCAATCGAATGGAACCCAGACCCCTAACGTGAGCACGAAGCAAACCCGAGTGTCAGGGCCCAGCTCAATATGAGAATGACGATGTTGAATCATACGTACATCGTATATCGTTCTGAGGTGCGCTTTCGGGATCCTCCCGTCTTGAGGCGCAAGGAGGTACCACGCAACGAGCCAACTTGCTAAACTTGCTATGGGCCCGAAGTGATCACTAAGTGAACAGTGAGAAAGAGTGAGAATATATGTCAGAAACGATTATGTATTGGTCGGGTGTGTGGAATTGCGAACAACGGAAAGTGCCATTACTTTGCACTATGAAGATTCCAAAGCATGACAAGTGTCTCCCAGAGTGAGAGTGAGTCCTTGTTAGGCGCAGTGGAGTGCTCTCTGAGAAAGGTGGGGGGAGGGAATCCGGCTGTTAGTGAGGTATCGTGGTTCAATGAGAAGCGAAACATACTCAAAGATCTAAACACATTCGGTGTAAGGCGGTCATATTCACAAACGACAAAACAGGTTATATGACATGCATACCCTTTCAAAGTTAACATCAACGAAGTTCCCGTCAGGATCAAACGCCCTCGAATCGGATCCGTGCACATCCCACTTGATGTTCTTGATATAAACTCTGTCCCAGGCCGTGACGCAAGGCATAACATAGGTGGGGGAGGAGAAACAAAATGAACTCTCGATCACACACGGCAGGGATAAAATGTTCACTTACCGAAAGAATGGATCTGGAACGAGGCTCAAAATGTACAACGGGATTGAAATTATAATGTAGAAGATCGAAGTTTTCGGCGTATACGTTGGACGTGGGAGTGATGGATAGCTGAAAGCGGTGTGAACTAAAACCGTGAATAGAATTGCAACTATGAGCCCGACTGGTGAAGTAAAGTGAGAATGTGTTTTGTTTTTTTTTGGGGGGGGGTGGAAGAATAGTAAGGTGCTAGTTTGAGGATGGCATTGATCAGGGAATGGTAGTGCTTACAGTCTAGCGCTGTAGTGCAGTAAGTGAAGAGCCGCATGATTGTATGCAAAGGCCAGAGCTAAGAAAGACGATTCGAAGTGTGGGCGCCTTGTCACTAGCTTACCGCGAACTCGTTTGAACGTGTGAATTGGCCAAAGCACACCATCACTGTTTAGATCGAAGTAGCCAACATGCTAGTAAGCGCCCAAACATGGGAGATGAGACGTCCCAAGCCTAAGGTGAGCATCTTGTGGTTGCGGTGCAAAGTTAATGTGAAGATCCTACCTTCTGTAGAGTTGTCTTTTCACCGATAGTGGACGCAGGTCGTGTCATCGGTAGTAATAGCAAGTCTTGTGGGTGAAATTGTGCTGGGGGGGGGAGTGGCAGGGCTAAGGCAGAGGGTTTGTTGGTCGATCGAGATAAATACGAGTCGAATTTGACTTCTAGCGGTGTTTGGCGTCCGTTGCGAGAGCAAAATGCCAATTCCAAGAGATTGGTCAGGCGCAACCAAGCGCAACCAAGCGCAGCCAAGAATTAAGACCTAGCTCGTGAAGATCGGGATGCTGACTATCGAAAGAGGGGGTTGGCAAAGCAGCAGACGGACGGACAAGCCACATAATTGGTCATCGACGCTATTTGCGCTATCATGCATGGAGGTAAAGGAAATGGAGCTCTTTATTACATAGGATGTCAGCAGTTCCGAGGCCGTCAGACGAAACCGTTGGACATACTGAAAAATGAACAATCCCAGCACGCTGGAATGCGTGGATAAGCTAAAGGCTGGGGAGCTTAATGCATCCCACCAGTCTCGTTCGTCGAAACTTTTGCCGAAAGGCCGGAATCAATGCCCGCGAAAGCATGCCTAAGAGTAAGGGCTATAGCGCCCAAACGCGACAAAGGTTGATCAATTGCTCAAACCGCATTATTTAACGGTACAGGATAAGGAAATTTGATTCCATACCTGAGGAAGTAGGGATCCATACAGGAAGCCAAAGTCCGGAGGTGTACCAGTTCCGCAAGCGAGGGTGCCAAATACTGTTTTTTCAAGGGGTCAGCTTATCAAATGGTGAAGCCAGTCTTTACCTAGACCGAGCAAGAAATCCATTGACCCGCTTTGCGATTATTTCCCACGGGCAACCGATTTGATCCAAGTACGCGTCCTTGCTTCTTCTTCTTCTTGGAACCCAGAAACTTCGGCAATACGAGACCTGCTGTGGACTGTGGGAGCCAAGAGCCCCCGAGACGATGAGTCGGTCGACTCTGCTACTTACAATGCAGCTCAGCTGTTTTGCAGCGCCGGAGCTGGCCGAAATTGATTGATTGTCTCTGATTGCCTGATTACTTCACCCAGCCCGGAGATCATTTTTCCACGGAAATTTTCGGATTTGTGGTGGTCAGGTCCCTGTGGCTTCGCGGTTTTGCTTTCCCGAATAATTCACAACCTGCTACTCTTCTCACCTTGCTTGTTTGACTTCTTCCACTGTTCGGGTACGTTGGACCTTGAATTCAAATTAATTTGGTTCATACCAAGCCTTCATGCATGCGGGACACACATTTTGACGAGAACCGGGTAATGGGATCATAAACGCCTACACAGAAGTTGAATATTACCCAATCGCAGAACATGAGACGATTGCAGCAATCCCAGAAACACAGACAAGCGCCAATACAGAGTTGGGCGAAGCGCAGCAAGCGCTAGTTCAAGATCAAGAATTCCAGGAGACCAGGGTCGTGACAGCCGAAAAGGATGATTTTAGTCAAACAGCACAACTACATATACACATACATTCAGTTGAGCAAACCTTTCTCCCTCTCCATATCCGTAACCAGCAACTAGGGGGTGTAAGGCCCTAACTCTCCGATAGCCAAGGTCATGGGTTGGCTAGAATTTGTTTACCATGTTTCTCTTCTTCAGAATTTAAGCGTTGGATCTAACTGTCCGCGTTTCCTTCCAAGCGCTACCTGCCTAGCAATAGAATGGAAACCGGAACCCTAATAAAGGAAAAGGAAAAAAAAAAAAACAGCACGGTGCGAAACAGGACAGTTCAAAGGATGAGAACGATGTTATATATGAGAGAGGAAAGGATCAATCAACATACATCGTATACCGTCTTGAGATGCGCTTTCTTAACCTTTCCATCTGGACCGGCGAGGAGGTAATACGCAATGAGGAAACTTGCCAAACTCGCTATGGGTCCAAAGAAATCACTAGTAGTAATGTGGTGCCGTAAATGTACTCGTGTGAGAAAAGTGCCGAACGCTGGTAGCGGTTGGCTTACTTACTTTGCACTGTGGAGATTCCAAATCATGACGACCGTGTCCCAAAGCGTAAGCGAGTCCTTTTCAGGTGCAGTGGAATGCTCGCTGAGGAAACAAAAAAATATGGGAATGGGGATTAAGTACTATAGGTGAAGTACGATATTTGAAGACATACATACTTGAAGATCTAAAATGCGTGTTCGTGTTGTGTAGAAAAACAAAACACCTCGTTCAACGAAAGTGGGTTGAAAATGAGGAGGGGCCATACTTTTTCAAAGTTCTCATTGACGAAATTCCCATATGGATCGAACGCCCTCGAATCAGTCCCGTGAACATCCCACTTGATATTCTTGATATAAATTCTGCTCCGAGTGGAGTGAAGGGATAGAACGGGGTAGAAGTGCCAGCAGAAATGGAAAATAAACATCTCAGTCACATCATTAGTGCCGACGAAGAGAGATGTTGCTTTACCGGAAGAAGGGGTCAGGAATAAGACTCAAAAGGTACAAGGGGATGGTAAGTATAATGTGGAGGAGCGAATCCTTGGGCGAATAGACCGGGCGCGGAAGGGATGGATAACTGAATGCGAGGTGAACGACGATAGTGAAGAGAATCGCGATTCCAAGCCCGACTTGGATGATTTTTTCAAGAACATCGGGATGTTCGTTATAGCGAAAGATATTGGGTGGGGATCGTACTTACAATCTAGCGCTATATATATTTAAGACGCATTAACGGGGGAGAATGATTTAAACTTGTGCGCGATCGGTAAGTAATTTTCAGGCTTACTGCGAACTCCGCGAAAAGTGTCTGCAGGCCAGACGATATCGTCGCCATCGGGATCGAAATAGCCAACATGCTACAAAAGCGCCCGAACCGAGGGAGCGTAATGTTTAGGTTTAGCCTGGAAAGCGGAGCTTCTCGCGGTATGTCAAGGAAAATGTCACCTTTTGCAAAGAGGTTTTTTCACTCATAGTCGAACGGGTCGCCTTGTCTGTGAGTAGGAGCTGGGGTCTTGTTGGGGAAAAGGATGGAGGGTTGGGGCAAGGTGGGGCATAAAAAATCTCCCTGATCAATATTTGTTCGATCACGCGAAATCGAATTGTCACAATGACATATCAATTTTTAATTTTTAATCGTCATAGTGAACACTTGGTTGAACGGAGCGCCCGTAAAGTGTGCTTATGCCATCAAAGCGCTCAAGATGAAGCCACAGAGGAAAATCTTCACATGATAAGTACAGAGTGTCACGCAATTAGCGTGTAATTAAATAAGCCGAACTAAAGTGCAAGCTTCTGCGGAAGGGCAAGAGTGTATGGTCATGGCTCATAAGTAGTGGTGCTGGATAGGGATTAATGTTGTGCCTCGTTGCTTACTTGTCCCGTAACTCGATTTTCCTAAGCTACAGACTAACACTTTCAGAGCCGCTTACGAAGCGTCTCGATGTAATGTTGGTGTAGTCGTCCCTACTTTCATACCGATGTGTCATTAGCACAGAATCGAATCTCTGGCGGTCGATCCGCCAACCGGGTTTGGAGCTTGTATTGAAAAGATTTGTAAAGCCATCAATGCATTTCCTGCGCGACTAGATACCTAGACAAATCATGCATCTTTACCTGACTCTCGTTGTGACAACTTTACTTGCCAAGGTCTATTTCCAGGCACTAAGCCACCAAATACAGTTGTAAGCGATACTGTGGAGCCTATATTGCGTCATCTTAGCTCGCCATGTGCATGACGATTCAGTTAGAGGGGCTGTCCACATGCTAATGTCTCGAGTGCATCTAGGAATCTGCCTTACGATGACATAATAGCTGCTGAAAGGGGCCGGGTCCCAGTCTCCATGTTGAAATATCTTGTTTCTTGGCTTGTTGTACGCTGTGGACTACTCGACTATGTCCCACGGACTATAGATCTTGCGCACGGGCATTTCCATGAAGGATTGCCCGATGCTTCTACTTTTGGGACCCATGTCGATGAACGCAGTCGAGGATGGCTTAAAAGCCACCTCGCGTGATTTTTCTCTTTCCTCTCTCCTCAGTTCACATCTTTGGAACTGAGGTGAGATTTCTTTTCATCACTTGGAGCAGACTTAGTCTGACGCTTGTACATATTTCCTAGCGCTAATTCGCGACTAGTTCATAATTCCAATACTCCAGACAATTAGCCCCGCGTTGCGGCCATGCGAACCCCAAACTAGCGTCATAATGAGAGAAATGGGCGGGTTTTAGGATATTTCCTTATACTTCTCGCCTGCAAACCGATATCTGGCAGCACCTATATATATATATACCAGTGTTTTGCCCTGAAGTGTTCTCTCCTCCTGAAAACCATTTACTCTTCACAACTGCCAAGTGAACCGACACGCACTCAAAGATCTACCCAATGTGATCAACATTAACCATCGTTGTCAGCGCGCAGTCCAACCTTTGTCTCAAGGATAGGGATAGGCGATAAACATATTGGAAGGACAGATCAGATATATAACTGTAAACTAGTAAAGGGGTCGAAGGAATCAGATTTAGAATTGGCCGGCTTCCTGAAGTCAACCTCAAGTAACTAGAATGGCGCCGGAGGGGAGGAATAAGACGAGACTTGGAGCAAAGCGCAGCGTAAGCGATTCACAGGAGATGAGATCATAAACACTCGTTAGGTCTACAAGCAGTACGGTTCTCAGTGCACCAGGGATGGCGATAGGCCAGACACCGTGGTTGAAAACCTTGAGATGTGGAGCAAGGGGACTATTTTGGTACTACGAGTCGTTATCATCTTGTAAGATCAGGATGTATGATAGACGTGAGGGAATCTATTTGGTTTCGCTCTCCATTCTCCCTGCATGCTGCAGGTGCTGCTGAAGTGAAACCATGAAACCAAACCTTGGTCCACTATCACCTCGCTGTACAATCGTGGGAAACGTGGCGCTTCGATGAATGAATGAGGTAAGAATCTCGCGGTAGAGCGTTAGGTGATATGATATGTGTCTTGGTCACGTTGTGCCAAGTCTTGTGTGCACGCCGGAGGAGATGCAACGAGATAGCGTGGCAACAGTCCCGGCTAATGCCAGAACCTCTTGAATTTGAAGATGACCTGGCTAATATACAACAGGCAGGAGACTGGGGATGGAGGAGGGTAACATGAAAAACAAGGATAATGAGGAACAAGAGGGAGAAGAGCAGAGGTTACAAAGAGCAAGGAAACAACCGAAGGTAATGAAACCTAGGAAAAAACACTGAGTAAGCAATCGGGATCCAACCCACCGAGTAACCGAAGGTCACAACACCTTCCCCTCAGCGAGACCGAAAAGCTTACCGGAAACAAGAAGCCAAACAAAAAAACTTCAACAAAAAACAGCTTGTAGGCCAAAGGGAATAAGACTTAAGAAATAAAAAAACATCTTCAGCAGAGGTCAAAGGTAAAGTGGGCTAGAGCCCAGTAGCTTAGGCGGACGAACAACATGTACAGAATTCGCCCGAAGAAATCGATCCAGGAATGCAGCGGCAATTAACCTGAATCGGCATGACTGCAACCTCGGAAGGCACAGTATGTGTAAGGCCGACAGCGGGTACGGTGTAGGCGGGATAATCGCCCACGCACAGAGCCGGCTCGGATACCCGCTTCCACCATTCAGAAAACCCCTTCCATTCATGCGACAACTCGATACGGATTTGACATATAAAAATAGTCCTAATTCGTACGATTCTGACGATATCAAGAACGTCCCAATCGGTGGAGATTTGACGGAGTTCTATGTTGGGCAAGTTAGGCACGGGCATGTGCGGGCGTGGGAATCTCAAGCGGCAACCCAGAATTCCAGCCTCACTCGTTCCCACGGCGTCTAATAAATTGGTAAAAATGCTCATTGGCTGCGTGAGAGTTATCTCCGGCTACATTTCCAATTTAGGCTCTTAATTCCGCAAATCCGCTGAGAAATCGCTTATTTTCTTTTATTTTCATATTTTGCCATCATTTCAGATATTGATTGATATTCTTTTATTGTTACTGTTACCCTTTTTTATTTTGCCTAATAAGGTATGCAGGTGCCATATGGTACCAATATTTCCCATCTATTATTTCTAAAAATAATTATTTCTTATAATCCTGTACATACCGGATTTTGGAATAGAAGTTCTCCCCTCCCCCATTTTCTCTAAGGTGCTAGGACGCGCTAGAGTTGGAGTGAGTGTGTGGAATCCAACAGTAGGAATAAGGGCAACTGTCTAGCCCACAACGAGTGGGTAGTAGATTAGTTGAGCCCGGACCTTGCGGAATCCCGGAGAACCCACCACGGAGTTTTAGGATCGAGCATAGCGAAGTCAAGAGAGAAAGTAGAGGTTTTGGAGAGTTTGGCCCCACGAGCTTAGTCGGCATAGAGAGCCGCTAGCCCTCTTTCAGCGTCTTTTCTTATTCGCCTGGATTGTTTGAGCAGCGCGATTGTGTATTAGCGTGTCATGTGCTGCCATGAGGTTTTCCTTCGCTTTTTGGGCGAAGTCATTTACTCCCAGGTAGTCTGAGAGTGGTGCTGTTAGGCACATCTTTGGCATATGGCCGTAGATTAATTTGAACAGGGCAAATCCTGTCGATGTGTTCAAGCTCGCATTGATTGCAAATTCCGCCATCGACAGTTTCGCTGCCCAGTCGTGTTGGTCTGGTCTAACCATCGCACGTAGTATTTGTACTACTTTTTGTATCATTCTTTCCGCTTGGCCGTCGCCTTGCAGGTGGAATGCAGTTGTGAATTTCAACTGCACACCGAGTATTCGGTGTAATTTGTGCCAAAATTTTGACATGAATTTCGAGTCTCAATCTGATATGATCGAGTGTGGTAGACCGTGGAGTCTTACAACTTCACGAAGAAATACGAATGCTAGTTCTAGTGCGTTCGTTGTTGTCTTTATTGGAATTAGGTGGACGTTGGATGTCAACCTACAAATGAGTACCCAGAGGTAATCATATCCCAAGCTTGTTGGGAATGGACCTGTGAAGTCCATGGCTATTGACGACCATGGTGTCTCTGGGGTCGGGAGTGGGTGAAGCATTCCGGGATTTCTCCTGGTGCTTTTCTTTGTCGTTTGGCAAGTTCCACAAGACCTACAGAACTTGTGGGTATCCTTCCTCATTGACTTCCACCAGAAGTGTTGACGGAGGGTTTCCACTGTTTTCTTGGATCCTAGGTGTCCAAGTGTTTCGTGGATGTTCTCGAGGATTATTCCTCGAATGGACTTCCTTTCGTAGTTCCCTTTCGGGACTACTATTTGGGTCGTTCCTCCTTCTCCAAGTGTCATATCCATACAATCCCGACCTCCGCTCCGGGCTCCCGGAACTCCAAACCTGACTTCCGGAGTCCTACTTCCCTTCCATCACCTTCTCCTTGCCTACTCCCAAGAGGTTATCCCACCTCCGGCTCCAACACCACCTTCGGTCCGACTCCGGAACATTCCGGGTCCGACCCCAACCTCGACACCTTCCAGACGAGTACGCAACACCTATGCTCCCGACTCTGGACCTCCGCTCCGGAATCCTGTTTGCGTCTCTGTCTCCGGAACCTCCGGTCTTAGCTCCGACCTCGGACTTTGACCCCACCTCCGCTTATACCCATTGTATTGGTTAGCTCATTCCATTTAATTACGTTTGCCAATATTCCGGAGTTTAACCTCCGAGTTCGGACTTTCCGGACTTACTCCGGACCTTGCAACTATTGCATTGTCCATTTCAATTCCGCTATTCTCCCTCATTCCTATTTGGGCTGCTGCTTCCTTTCTATTCAGTCAGCTAGCCATTCCCCACTCCCCACCTCCTTCCTTCCTCCTTGGGCCTTGGCCCTTCATTCCTCCTTTGAGAAACACCATTGAGTCAAACCCTTGACCCTTGGTGTTGTTCCTCTTTCCATCTCCCTTTGTCTCCTTTCGTCCTACCCTCACTCCTTTTGATTCCGGACCCCTCCTTATATACAATGTACATAGTAACTTGTAACCTCAGTCCGAAATCGACATGAATTCCCCCCAAGAGACTTTCCCTCTGCTAGATCCGAAATTAGGGACCCCTAGGACAACCAGCAATGGCACAGCGCTCTGCCTGAGTCGCTGAGGCCGAGGTCCTTCCACGCTAAGTCTCCGATTCCACTCCGGAGTCGTCTGAATCCGCAAGTTCTAACACCAAGTTGGGTTATCAGCCCATCTTTTACGGAGAAGTTTTTGAAATTTCCCGGGTTCTCTAGGATTTCCCAGTGGATCTGGCTTTTCGAGTATCCAGATTTTATTGCCTCAATGAGGTCTTTCTCTTCGAATTGTTTTTGAAGGTTCTCTTCTGGAATTATGATTTCTTCCAGATTTTGGGCACTCCCCCCTAGAGCTTCCTCTAGGGTATTTCTCGCGCGTATCGCTGCGAGTCTCTTTCTCTCTGAGTTTTTAC